GGATCGGAATCACACGGTTTTGGTATCGCAGGCCTCTAGTTTACGGAGCTTACATAATTCAAAACTTTGATCTTTTTCAACCAAAATTTTTCCTTAAAATTGATTCTAACTCAACAATGTTTGTGTGAGTGCCCTTAGTACATGGATTTTAGTGAATGAACACCCGATAAAACTTAAGAAAATTAGCAAAAATTTTATTCTTTGATAATTTTTAGGTTTAATAAAAACAGGTTACGGCCACTGACTACTATATTCGTCATTATCCACTGCATATCCCAACTGAAGTTTAAACTGTCTTTTATGTATAACTGCATTTTTCTTTTTTATTTGGTATGCAGAGTTAAAATTCTTTATTGCTTCATTCCAGTTTGTCGTTCTCATGTTTAATTCTCCGATATGGTCGTAAACTGATGCTAAATCCTCATGCTGCCTCGGTAACACTTGCAGCATCATTTGAAAATAAGATTCAGCTTTTGTAAACTGACTCATGTCCAATAAAACCCGGCCAAATAATAAATTAATATTTCTATTTTGAAATTTTTTTCTCATCGTATCGATTCGTTGTTTTACTTCGTACGTACCTTCATCAGTAGCTTTCATTTTAATGTTCCATAGATTAAGATTTGTATCATAGTTGACACTTTCAATTTTAAAAACAGAACCAATACTAAACAAAATTTCCTTTTCTCCTAATATTCCAGTGTATTGATCTATATCAACAAAAATAATATTTTTTAACTTAGCCGCGTCAACTGTTATTTCAAATAGAACAACTTTGAAATCTTCTGTATCTGTAGCTCCAAGAACAAACTGTGACGTTTGTTCAATATCTTTAGATGATGAAAGGAAACCATTCGTTGAAATTAAACCACCAATATTTGATTTTATATTTTCAAACTCTTTTGTTGGTAAATGCGATTGACCACGATATAATGTTAAAGTAGTTTGAAGATTTTGTTCTTTATGAATTTTTTCTAATTGAGTACACAGATCAATAATATAAAATCGAAATAAGTACCAAAGTGCTATATCTTCTGTACGAAAAGCTTGATTGACTAAACGATAAACAAAAGAATCTTCGGTATACCAATTTATCCCAGGCAGACATTTTTTTAGACCAAATGCACTGCTAAACGCGTTTTTTTGTACTAAAAACGAGTCTGAACGCGTTTTCTTACAATTGAAACGCGTTTGGACGCGTTAATTGGTGATAAATGCGTTTAAATACGTTAGAATCAAACGCGTTTGGC